ATAGTTAAAAGAGAACCCCATAGATGCACGATAACATCGATTTATGCTGTGAACAATAGATAACTGTTAGAAGTAAAGCCATAGATGCCACAGATGGCAAATTACTATGAAAACTAAGCAACTTCAATATAATAGAAAAACAATTGCTTACCTGGAAGATTACTCATCGTATTGTTTGCTTTTTATTGTATTTTCTTTGAAATTTCATATGTTTTCTTGTCTTTCTTTTACAGGTATTTTGTTTATTACTTTATGAACTGTTATATTATGTAATTGTAACTTAGAATGATAGTTAAAATGTTTCTAAATTGATCTTTTGGCATAAATGTTAAAATTAAATTAAATATTTGTTTATTAAAATTCATTTGGGTGTATAGGGTGGCTATAAGGGGAGATGTGGAGGCCACAGATGGTTAGGGGGCTTTTTTTCTCCGTAATCATGTGTTTAAATAATAATATGACAGTTTATAAATAAATAACGTTCTTTTTTGTGTTTTCTTTGAAATTCCATTCGTTTTCTTGTCTTTCTTTTTCAGGTATTTTGTGTTGTTACTTTTATAAGCCATTATAAACTGTTACTTCTGAGATATTTTGTTTGTATCATGTATTATACAGTTGTTTGAAATAAATACCGTTATAATAGATATAATTTTTGTCTAAATAAATAAATCGTAACACATTGTTTTATCATTTGCGTGTTTTACCTGTGTAATAGTTGTTGAATGCATTTAAAATAAAAGTTAAATGTGTGAACTTGGATCGCCCTTAATCAGAGTAATAGTTAAATGTATTTAAAACAAAGCAAAATAAATTACAAGTTAAAATGAGCGACTTTAGATCCCCTTAAATCAGTATTGGCTTTATTCACGGAACGTAAGTGATAGCAGCGCCCTCCAGTGGGGGATGACTGAACTGCTAAGTTTATTGATTGGGCGCGACGGTGGCGCCTCTTGGACAAACCGTCAAACTATTGGAGTTTAAGAGCGTACCGCTAGATGGCGCTGCAATCACTTAGGTTTTGAGCCTAAAATACGAGGGTTGGTCAGAAAGTAATGGAAAAATATCCTATGCAACTTATGCTCTCCTAATACAAATGTTGGAATTTATGAAAATTTTCGGTTTTGAGCCGAATACGAGGGTTGGTCAGAAAGTAATGGAAAAA